GGTGAATACCTAACGGGGCAGACGCAACGTCATGCAACTGCGGCATTTACGCAACGACTGGTTGATGGAATATTGGGATTTGAGACGCACCCATCTCACGGGGTTCATCTCCTTCTGAAGCACTAGCATCCTCCGCCAGAAGACGTTCTTCCATTGCCATATTTTCATCGTCGTCGTCGTAGTCTTCGTTGTGCATTTCCCAAGTCGGATCATTCTCTTCTCCCTCAGAAAAGTTACCAACTGGAGACGCATGAGCGGCAGACGAAGCTGGAAGACGGGGAGATTTTAAATCAACTGACCTCACCGGTAAGGGAACATTCTCGGTTGCGGCGATGTCGACATACAACTTCAGAAAATCTGTCCTTGACTGATTGAAAAATTCTTCCATTGTCATCTCTAGTTCTTCATCGTCAACCACTTGCAAACTAATGTATTTATCACATTGACATAACCTTGCCGTGATCTAAGTGATACATTGGTTAGCTTGAAGACTTAACTTCTGCCGAATTCTTTGATGCAGTTCGCCAATGGTTGCGTTGCGTTGGATACGTGTCGGTCTTTTTTCACCTTCGAAGATGACACATCGTCGACCTTCTACCTTCCTACCATTGTAATATAACACAATACGAACAGAATCAGGATTTGGGCTCATTTTTAAATAGAATAAAAAATAAAATTCAAATACTAAATTAAAGAACAAGGAATTTTGGTGGAGAAGAGAGATATGAAGAGTGAGAGAAGAGGTGTGAATTGAATGGAGGGGGTGGGGGGAATATATAGAGCACACATGTGACACCCAAAATGTGACGCCCAAAAGTGGCGTCACATTGTGCATCAGATGCGTAATTATTTAAAAAACAGCATTAAATGCGTAATTATTTAATTTAAATATATTATTTTAATTTTTTTGCCTATATTATTAAGATCTTAATGCAATTGTATATGCTAATGATCTACGAATAGACATTCTTATATGGAAACCTTTGGGTTTCAATAGATTTTAATGCTTATTTCAAATTAAGGGGTTTTGATCAATTTAGCTCTTAGCTCTTAGTTAGATAAATTTGAGTTTTAGTAGATATTAGAAAATTGAATTGGATTAGATCTATGTAATGTTAATGAATAATTAGGGGAATCAAATCCTAACTTTCTTGTTCATTGTGAAATATGGCGACTGATAATCACATAAATTATTATAATTGAACTCTTTACTTTATTCACTGCCTTATAATTTAAAGTCCTCTTCAGTTTATGTTAATTCATTCAAATAGAGTTAAAATAATGAATTAGATCTTTTAATATTCAAACCTAGTGAGAATATTTCTGAACTTCCACTTCATTACTTGTCTGATTCAATGCGTATGTGGAAGTCACAATAGACCCATCGTAAACTTTAATCTATTTAAATGTATCATTTTACTACATTCAAATACGTCATCTTATGTTAAATCTGTTTATATTGAAAATTTTCAAATAGGCTAAAGTCACTAGCTCGTCTATCAGGATGCTAAACTTTATTTTAACCTCGTGGTTTAATCACTTAATCCCTTGTGATTTTAAGTTTATCAATTATAGACACTGTAGTTAAATAAGTTATTTATTTAACTCTTTGTAGTTTCAAATTTTCACTTATATTTATCGTGGTTACAAAAATATATCATTTAGATCCCTTAAGGTCTTATAAATATAAAATTATTTATTTTTCTTAATTTTTATTTTATAAAATTATAATATTATCAAACAAACATTTAATAAAATATATTTATTAAAAATTAAATTAAATTATTTCAGGTTATTTTAAAAAAATATTAAGTTTTTATTTATTTAAAAATATAATTAAAATTAAAATATTCTTTAAAATAAACTAAAGACCTATTTTCTAAACAAATTATTTATGTCAAATTATTTTATAATATTAAAATGATATTAGATAAAAATAGATAAAACAAAAAATAATGTTTGACTTCAATTTATTTTTCCGATAAAAAATATATTTTTTAAAATTTAATTCAATTTATTTAAATTGAATGCATTAGATAATAGGCATTTGATTTTTTAAATAATATTTGATTATTTTTAAGATAATTTTTAAATAAATTATTAATTTTATCATAATTTTCAAATAAATTATTTAATATTTTTTATTTTTATTTTTAATAACTAATATAATTTAAATTGATATGATTATACTACTATAGAATAAAAAAGAAAGTAAATAAAAAAGTTTATACAAGTATTTGAATGATATTATTATTAATAAAAAAAATTAAGTAATTATTTTAATTTGTAAGGTAAATTTTTTTTAATATTAAATAATATTTTAATTTTTAATATATATAAGATAGATAATTTATATTTTTGGACAAATAATTTATTTTTAAAGAATGTTAAATAATTTATAAACGTATAATTTTTTTTTATTTTTTAATACTTAATATCATTATAATTATAATTTATAATATGATAATATTATAACATAAAAATTATGAAAAATAAAAATTATATTTATATATATATAAGACCACACAAAATCTGGCAAAAAAATTTAATTATTGCATTTTAATTAAATAATTACCTATTTATTGCAGTTTGGAAATAATTACGGATCTATTGCACAATGTGATGTCTTTTTTGGGCATCACATGTGACGCCTCATTTAGGCGTCTCTCACATGAGGGAAGACGCCCCAATGGGGCGTCTATCACCTAAGGTTGACACGTGTCATTTTTTTTCCAAAAAATAATAATTTAATCATAAAACTTGTGAAGGCCATAACTTTTGACTAGGGTATCCAATTCAGGTAATTCTCTTTTTGATTGCACATAACTTTCCGAGATCTAAGCAATGACATCTCATTTGATATATTTTATTTCTCACAAACACAATTTTAATTTGCAAGAATGGTATTATAAGAGCTGTTAAACCAAGAAGCCTCTGAGTTCTTGGTTTGTGATTTAATATAAAAAAATAAATAAAATTTTGATTTGTGATTTAAATTTTTTTTATAATACTTTTTTTTTATTATAACAATAATTTGGTTTGTGATTTAAATTAAAAATAAAAATAAAAATTATTATTAATAAGGAAAACAAAATAAAGATTTGATTTGTGATTTAAATTAAAAAATCAATTTGAAAAATCTGTAGAAATAAAGAAAATAATTAAATAAATATTCTAAATCTCTAAGGAAGAAGAATATTATTTTTGAAATTAATGATTAATGCTATAAGCTTCTGAGTAATTATTCGTGGTCTGAAATTAATGATGGCTTATGAATATTTTTCAAAAATAAAATTACCTAAATTAGGCGTGATTGCCTCTTGATTAAAACCCAATTTAGACGTGATTGGTGACGTGTCAGGTGTTGACATGTGTCACATTTTTAAACTCAGAAGCCTCTGAGTTCTACGTTTGTGATTTAATATAAAAAATAAATCAAGATTTGATGTGTGATTTAATTATAAAAAAAAATTAGTTTGTGATTTAAATTAAAAGTAACAATTATTATTAGTAAGGAAAACAAAATAAAGATTTGATTTGTGATTTAAACTCAAAAATCAATTTGAAAAATCTGTATTAATAAAGGAAATAATTAAATAAATATTCTAAATCTCTAAGGAAGAAGGTTTACCTAATTTAAATTTAAATTATGTTTGTGTGAAATAAAATATATCAAATGAGATGTCATTGCATAGGTCTCGAAAAATTATGTAGAACCAAAAAAAGAATTACCTGAATTGGATACCTGAATCAAAAGTTATGGCCTTCAGAAGTTTTATTATTAAATTATTATTTTATTTTTTTTAAATGACACGTGTCAATCTTAGGTGAGAGACGCCCCATTGGGGAGTCTTCCCTTAGGTGAGAGACGTCTAAATGAGGCGTCACATGTGACGCTCAAAAAAAGCGTCACATTGTGCAATAGATCCGTATTTATTTCCAAAATTGTAATAAATACGTAATTATTTAATTAAAATGCAATAATTAAATTTTTTTGCCCACAAAATCTAAGTGAAACATTTTTATAACTAAGTTGGGTATATGCAATACTTTAAACTTACCCGGGGCTGAGGGGATTTTTAAATGATACAACTTTATAATTATAGTATATCTATGTGACAAGTTTGAAATAACATAAAGTCAAGTGATAAACCATGTAAATACAATGGGTGAAAATAAATTATTCCTTTAATAAAATATCATATTACGTATGTAATTCATTGGCCACATCACTAGCTTTTGTTTGTAATTGGATGACAAACTAACTCATAGACCTGATTTTATCCACACACAAAACTCATAGACCTCATTTTTTTCATTTAGAAAAATCGATTCTTAAAAAAAATGTTGTAGGACTAAAATCACATTATTTATTTTTAGAAGTATATTAAAAGGATAAAAATTTCAATTAAGCTAAAAATTTATTAAAAGTATAACTAATAAAAATTTACACTTATCAATTTTTTTATTTTAAAATAATCAACGGTGTTAAATTGGAGTGACATGTATCGGCCAAATTCAGACTTAACTGTTATTTAGTTTAGCCATTTTAGGTTATGATAAAGAACCATTGATAAAAAAAAATAGGCAAAATCACTTCTTACAATGTTGGAAAGGTTAAACTTTTGTAGTAATCAATTACAACTATATATTAGAAATAATATATATTTATAATTTAATTTTTTTTTAAGCTGTAGACTCATGTGGTGGAAACAGAAAAAATAACTTTAATATTACTAGTATGTAGTATCCTTATCCCTAATACATAATTATAATCAATTGGGGATCCACAAAGATAAGTAGCTATCCATTATTAAACATTAAGAAAGCCACACGACAAGGCCAATTGCCCAAACCAACAATATCATGGCATTAATCAAGCATAGGGCTCCTGAAAAACCAATGAGTTAGAACAGAAATCAGCTATGCAATTACAGAACCATTTAATGCACCATAGAGATGAAGTTATAATAAATGAAACAAAAAGGGACTCTCAACCATTACATTTTGCTAGATGCTTGCACACCCCAACAAAATGACACTAGGCATGTGCACTCTGCACATTGAAAACTCTTAAATTAAAACACATATAGTTCAGCCAATTCCTCCAAAGACTCAGAACTAAACTTAGGATCTGCATTTTCTAGCATCCACAATAGATGATCAAAGAGAACCACCTCACAGTTGACCACCAAAACATTTTCATCACTGCCCTTTTGCTTTGACTTGTTGATTAGAGCATTCAGAAGAGGATGATTCAGATATTTGGAACTAATCACATACCGTTTCCTTGTGCTGCCTACAAATATAGTTTCACAATGTTCATCTTCTTGTATGCCTTGTCCTGCCCATAAGTCTTCCTTAACAGATTTGGACCTGAGGCTACTATATGATGAAGATCTTCCTAGCTGCCTTGACAAGCTCTTGCACTTTCTGAGTATTACATGGATCTTCTTCATCCGTTTTTTTTTTTGGGGGGGGGGGGGGGGGGGGGGGGGGGGGGGGGGGGGGGGGGGTGTTTAATTCTGATTCAGGGTGAGAGAGAAACAGAGAGGGGGTTGATTAGTAAGAACCAATGAATGAAAAATAAAAATAAAAGAAAGAGAGACAAAGAGGCTTAAAATACACTCACAATAAGTGTACGGTACTTTTAAAGAGAGTGAGTGAGAGAGGTGGGTGCAAAGTCATTGTTTTCCGGTGCTAGAAGTGGGGGGTCAATTTGCAACCAAACATTTTTAGTAACACAAACAAGTCATCTTTTGGTTAATAAATTTGAGGGTTGTAGTTCCGCACACAATATAAGAACTTGCCACTCACTCATCACTAATCAATCACCCAATAGAGCCCATTGTTTCTCTGAACCCATTGGTTCAGTGGTTCTGGCCAAGGACTTGAGCCCCACTACTAATACCCATGCCTCCCCCAAAAGGAAGAGCTTAAATAAAACCAATACATGATACATGAACAAGTCTTTGATAAGAAGAAAAATGTGTTTAGCTGTTGAATTTTTTAATTTTCGTGCACAGAAAAAATTAATAAAATTTTGACATAGACTGAAAAATTTTACTAGAGCATGCACACAATGGTGTCAAATTTTGTTTATATAAAAGATTGTTTTTGTCACATGCATCTATCACTGTTGAGAAAATTTGGTTTTCTCATAAATTCGTCAAAAGTAGAAAATGTAAAAGATAGTCAATACGTAAATGAGGATTGGCACAACTGGTCGAATATATATTGTCCATGCTAGCCCAGTTATCTTCCGAGTAATTTAAACTTGTTATGTCTTGGAGACAGAGTTGTCTAGTCCAATGGGCTAGTATGTTGATCTTGGATCTAGTGCCCTCTCCAAGGTATCTATGAAGGAGATACCTTTGAGTCAAATAGATCACTGTGCACAGAAAAACAATAACGGCTTTGTCAAAGGGTGTGTGTGTGTACACCGTGACAGCATAACAGTAAGAGAGAAAGAGAGTATAACGTACATATAGATTTTACCTCTTATTTATAAGGTTTACATGTGGGTAGTAGATTCTGGACCTTTAACGCCTCTGATGGTGGCTCAGGCCCATCTATCACGTTGTCGTATTAGAATTGGTATCCTTCATGGATATCCTTCCGTAATTATGCTTGATTTAAATCTTAGATTTCCCTTTGTTAGGCTTGTCAATCATTGGGCCCCTTATATGGGTCCATAACAGTTGCCCCTCAGTCAGGCTGCTTGAGTGTCCGGGCTGCCGGGGTGAACTTCTTTTTGCATTAATCCGAGGTTTTGTCGAAAATGCTCGGATTCTCGTGCACTCCTTATGCATGTATTATGAGCTTCAAATTTTCTAGAACAAGGAATAGAACTTTATTGCCCCTTATCTCGTCGGGTTGAGTATGCAATCGGTGAGATACTGTATATATTTCTTTTTACCGGGTTGTGGATGGGCTTGAGTTGTTGGGATCCAACTGGCGAGTTACCCCTAAGCTCATCGCTCTTACAATCCGGCTTGGCATCTCTTTGCCTAGTTTTCCATTTTCGGGATCCCGGTTACGGGTTCTTATTCTCCTTGTTAGATGTATGATGATCTTTTCATGATTCTGGTAGCTTTTATATTAGTAATCATTTTTTTTTTACACGTGATGCTTGTTGCCTTCATTAGCGTGCTGCAGCCGTTTTGTGTTGTTTTCGCAATTCGTGCGCATTTATTTAATAAGTCATTTCAAGCGTCTAATCATTACTTTTTAGGATGTATTGACTAGGATGCCCCTGACCTTTGCAATTTGTAACCGTTGCGGTTACCGCTACTAGTATATAAACGTGCTTGCTTTTCATTCTTTCTCTTTTACTTTGTTTATTCTGGAGAAGTTCATTTTTGTGCAATTCTTTGAGTGCTAGTATCTACAAACGTGCTTTCATACACTCTTACACTTCATTTCTTCTACTCAAGTATCTTGCTTACCTTCCAACTTTCAACTTCTCTTATTTTCCTCTTCAGTAGTTTGCTTTTGTCTGTTTAACTTCTGGATATTCGTCCTTTCTGTTTTGGATTTTTGTTCTTGATATGTCATTCTGGTAAATCGTTTGCTGGTTGCATTTTTAGCTTTCTCAGATAATGCATGTTCTTTGACCTTTGACATTCAAATTGCACTGTTCTCCACTGTATTTCGTTTCCTTCATCGTTATTTGAATTTGTTGTCGTTTCGATATTCATCTTAATAAGAGGGAAAAACCTCCTTCTTCAGTTGTGCATTGTGAGGGGGTGAAGGAGGAAGAATCCGAGTTGTTAAAGAAGGTCCCTCCTGGGGTTCGATTTTGGTTCTGGGGGATTTCGAGAAATGAAGAAGAAGAAGAAGAACACGAAGCCATGCTTTGTGGTTATCATGGTGGTAGATCTAGAAAGAGATCTGGGTTATTGAGTCGTGGTTTAGATGAGAACCCTACAAGCCGGGGTCGTGGTTTTTCCAGGCGGGGTAGGGGTCGTCTTTCTGCAAACAGACCTGTGGGTAATTCTTTGACATGTTCTTCTAAGACCTGTTTTCTCTCTGGCCCCAGTTTCCTTTTCTTTTGTGCCACTGGCGTTGACCCGGGATAAATTGTCAACTTGTGGCAGCAGAATTTGGGATCAATGCCTGGAATCTCAAATGACTTCCACGCAAAGACATTTGTGGCTTTTGAGGAATTCAATTAATTCTTGCTTGACACTGGGATTAATTGTCTTACCAATTTTGGTAAATTGAACGGGTTCTTCTCCTAACATAACAATTCACCATCTGGTTCTGGTCTGGGAACCGCTTCTTCCCTCATGTCCAATTCAATCATATTAACTGGTTTACTTGAATGATGAGGGGTTGCCTTTTTCCCGACTTTGTTTGCTGGACGAATCCGGGGTGGACTTAAGTGTCCGCCTTCATTTCCTTTAATGGATTCAAAGTAACACTCTCTTGATTCTTTTTTATCCCCATGGATATTAATGACTTCATTCTTGTTGCTTACCATCTTTATCTTTTGATGTTTCATGGAAACCAGCATGTCCCATTTATGTAGGGTTGGTCTCCCAAGGATGATATTATATGGAGAGGGGAAATCAGCCACAATGAACCTCATGCGTTCTGATTTGAATGCCTCTTTGGTTCCCATGGTTAATCTGAGATCTATATAGCCTTTGGGAGGTGTGTTTTCTTCGTTAAAAGCTATCAAGGTTGTCTTACCGGGCTTGAGATCTTCTACATCCAGGTTCATCTTTTTGAAAGCATCCTATAGGATGATATCGGCACAACTGCTTGCATCTATGAAAATCTTTTTAACCCGACAATTTACCAGGGTTCCAGTGATGACCAGCCCATCAACATGCCCTAGCAGCACGCCTTGCATGTCTTCCCTTGTGAAGTAGAGTAAAGGGGGCTCAGGCTTACCAGGGTCCTCTTTAAATTTCGGATGATCTCTGATAGAAAGTACTTCTCTGAGGTACTTTTGTCTGGCACTCACTATATCTCCCCCTCCTCCGAGGGCTCCACTAATCACATTGCAATCGAACTCGGCTTCTGGAAACTCATCATAGTTGGAATCATCTTTTTGATTTTTATCTTCTTTCTTTTTCTTTTCAGGTGCTGGGCTCTTGCTTCTATTTTGGCTATCGGGTTTCCTCTTATTGCTTTTCAATCCATGTGTCTTAATGATATATTAACGTAGCTTCCCTTCTCTGAAAATTTTTTCCACAGCATCTCTAAGATCCCAACACTGATCAGTGGTACGCCCTGGTCCATTGTGAAAAGAAGAATTTGGATTTATCCAAGCCTCCTTTGTTAAATATGGGCCAAGGTCTATCTGTTTCTTCATGTCCGTCATTGCCATTTTCCTTCATATTTGAGAGCGTGGCCCATTCAACGGTGTGTATTTTTCATATCTTCCAACCCGGTTTCTATCTTCCGGGATTCTCCCACGGGAATCCTTCTTTTTATTGCTGGTTCGTTCTTTTTCTCTCAGGGCTGGGCTTCTCCTTCTTGAACTTACTTATCCTTTTATTCTTTTCACTCTGCGCATTTTCTATCTCCATTTGTTCAAGTTCCGAATACTTCTTTGAACGGGTTCTGAACTCCTCTAATGTCCTTACGGAATCTTTATAGACTGATTTTGCCAATCTAGATAATCCATCCAACCTAGCTACAATGAGGTGGACATGGACGTTTTCCTGCAAACCCAGTACCTGCAAAGCTGCATCTTTAAATCAATTCAGATACCTCTGGAGTGTTTCTCCAAGTTGCTGTCGTATCTTTTCGAGTGCGAACTCGGACTTTAGATGTTTTTTTCTTGTTGCAAAATTCAACAAGAACTTTTCTCCGAATTCTTCAAAAGATCTAATGGAGTTAGCAGGCAGGGTTGAAAACCATGCCTGTACAGCCCCAGTTAAAGTCATAGCAAATATTCGGGATATGATTGGTTCATCAATTCCTCGGATATACATGTCTGTGTCGAATGCATCTATATATGGGCCTGAGGGTCCTGGCTTCCATCATACTTCGACAAGTGTGCCGAGTCAAATTCCTCCAGAAATGGAGCATTCAGTGTTTCACCAGTAAAGGGGCTGTTATTATATTGCCCCCTACTGTACTTTCTCCTGTAAGCACTGAGTTCAACAAGCCCTCTGACAGGTTAAGCATCTTGGTTAAGATGTGTCCCATCCCTGTTTCTCTGCATATTTCCTCTTGTTGAAGCATTTTGCACCAGATGTTTCTATGCATATTTCCTCCTGTTGAAGCATTTTGGTTGTTCATTTCATGGCTTCCCAAATTTGGGTCCACAGTAGTTCCTGCATTTTCCTTCCCTGGATCCCAGCCTCCGTAACCCGAATTTGATTATCCAGGTTATGATCCCTATTCTGGCCACTACCATCTCGACCTTGGATCCCTTCAGATCCCAGTCCCCTTAGCTCCATTAAACATTGCTCCATATCTTGCATCCTCCTCATGTTCTCCTCCTGAATTCTCCTGAAATCTTCTTGCCGTTGGAGGTTGTTGCGATTTTCCATATATTCCATCTGTCATATGATTGCGGTGAACGCATTTTGGGCAAAGCGGGAGTCAGGATCTGCAGCTTGCGCAACGCGGGCGACAATATCCACCGAATTTTGAGGAAGAAGGGGAGGCAGAGCTGGGTCTGCAACTCGGTTGCGGGGGGCTGGCGTGGAGGCAGTATCTGAAACATCCTCATTGACATGACTGTGTCATAGTCCACCTCGTTTTCTAGTTGGTTTTTAGGTTGATTCACCTCTTCCAGAACCGGATCCAATGGGTGATAGGGAGGCTGTGGCTGTTGGCTATTACTCCTCGTACGGACTACCATCTCTAGTCAGATTCGTGGGAATATCAACTTTGTCGATCCCCACAGACGGCGCCAGTGTTCTGTCTTGGAGACAGAGTTGTCTAGCCCAATGGGCTAGTATGTTGATCTTGGATCTAATGCCCTCTCCAAGGTATCTATGAAGGAGATACCCTTGAGTCAAGCATATCACTGTGCACAGGAAAACAATAATGGTTTTTCCAAAGGGAATGTGTGTATGCGCACAGTGACAGCATAACAATAAGAGAGAGAGCGTAACGTACCTGTAGGTTTTACCTCTTATTTATAGGGTTTACTTGTGAGTAGTAGATTCTGGACCTTTAACGCCTCTTTCTCTGATGGTGGCTTAGGCCCATCTATCATGTTGTTGTATTAAAATTGGTATCATTCATGGATATCCTTCTGTAGTTATGCTTGATTTAAATCTTAGATTGTCTTTTGTTGGGCTTGTCAATCAATAGGCCTCTTATATGGATCCATAACAAAACTTTTATTTAAAAAAAAAATGCTTGATTCAATAGCGCAGTTTCTATGTTAAATGAGTATCAATTTCCCTAATAAAACTGAGTACAAAACTTTTGATACATCACATAATTAGAACATGAGCTTGAGATCTCAGGGATTCTTAGAATTACCATTCTTAGCTTTCAATTCGCCTCTAACGATCTGAATTTTGATGTCGTAAAATAGTCAAAAGATAGAGCACTATAATGAATACAGTTACGGAAGGGAAAGCAGTGTGAACTGAGAAATTTCATATCAGAGTTCTAACATCAGATTTAACATTAAATTCCAGAATAATCTTAATGCATTTAAGTGTAAAATCTAAGATTTACCTTAATCATTTGATATTACTTACATGAGTAGTAAGAAAAAAAATGTAATAAGTATAACCTTTCCCTACTTACATAGTGGAAATTATTATTTTTCTTTAATAGAAATATCTTCTTGATATATAATGACATTATCAGGGCTTCTTTAGTAATTTTCTCTTAATTTTTTTTTTTTTTTGGTTGTTTCTTAATGTTTTTTACCAACTGAAATTTGGAATCATTTGTAGATCCTAGAATTGTATTTTTCATAATTAAAAAAAGAAGAAGCAAACTTCAATGTTAGAATTATAACTAACAAGTATGATTTAAGCGGTAAAGAGATTTATTCTACTTAATCAGAAATTTTAAGTTCGAATTTTAAAATTGGAGAAAATAATATGGAAAGAGTTGTCACATGCAATATTAATTTGAAAATTCTCGAACCAAAATAAACCGATATGAAACTAGCGGTGGAATCCTTTTCACTTTTCTGCAATTGTTTTCGTAAACATTATGATTTACCTGGTTACACTATTCTCTGAACCTAGTGTGTCTTTTTTCTTTTTCTTTTTTTTGGGTAGTAAGCTCTTATCACTTACTTAGATGGTTGACTTCATTTCTGCAATGTACAAAGTAAGAAGACCCTTGCATGACAAGGCTAATAATTCAAGATAACTTTTAAGATAAGAAGAGGCACTATTCTGACATGTATCTCTAAAGTATGCTACTTCACAAAGATACTTTATTTCTTTGTTCTAAATATCCTGATGATTTCATTAAAAATAGAAAAATGGGGCCGCTCAATTACACCAAGATGTGCCACGAGGTTGGTGGGTGTCCCACAGAAATGGAACCTTGACTAGGTGCTTCGTCTTATGTGGCTAATGCTCAAGGCTGCGCCACTCAACTATTTGTCCCAAAACATCTCACTTTATCCTTTCTGACATGAGGGCCTTTCGCTCAGTTAGAATTTCGGTAATTTATTCTAGCCTAAGGCGGTGGGAGTGAGCAATAAGTTGCACTATCCGTTGGGAAGTGGGGGGAGTTGATGGTGAAGGAGAATTATTAGTAAAGAGTTAATTAAGCGATAATTTATTGAATGGGTTCAACAAAACATTTTGATTCCTTAAGATTTTAAGAAAAATTATATGTAGAGCTCACTCAATTATCACTAGCTTATTCAATCTCTTTTACAATAAATTCTTCCAATAATTTAATATTTTAGGTTGAGATGTAATATTTTAGGTTGAGATGTAGTGTCGAATTCATTTAATATCGTGAAATATTACTCTAACCCAGTAACATTATCACAGCAACTCAATACTAATCGGTCCAATAAATATTTGGTTTGGTCTGACCATGCACAGTTGAGAATAGAATATGTTGATTAAGAGAAGGAAAGTTGATTGAAGAATTGTTGAGATGCTGGGCTGCTTGGTGAGATGGTTGATCAGCACTTCGCGTATCTGGTGAGTTTGGAGGAGACTGGGCATACCTACAAGTAGGAGTGTTCATCAATCAATTCAAACCGCGATAACCGAACCGAAAAATCGATAACCGAATAAACCGAAAATCAAAAAATCAAAAACCGAGAAAAAATCACAAATTTTAATTGAATTGGATCAATTTTCGAATTTATTGATGAAAATCGATCCAATCCCAAACCGATCCAATATATTAATTCTCCCTCTACCTACTTGGGTCTTTCCCCAATCATAGCCCAAAAACTTCTAAACCCGAGATGTATTAACACATCAACTAAACCCAAGAAAAAAATCTAATCACATCTCATCAACAAAATTTCATTTGTGGAGAGCTTAATGTCTCATTGCCCATAAAAAAAATATATTATCGTTTACTGATTCTTTTGTATTTCAAAAAAAAAAAATTACAAAGCCAATATATACAAAAGATGTTATTTGCACAATAATCATGAAACAAATTTTAGGATTTTCAAAAAACCGAAAAATGATCCAATCCAAACCGAAAAAAATTAGATTGGATCGGATTTGAAAAAAAATCTAAACTGAATAGATGATTACATGATCAAACCGAAGAGATTGAATCGGATGATTTTTGCTTTCAAAACCGATCCAATCCAGACTGCGAACACCCCTACCTACCAGGCACTCCGACGCTCAAGTCAGTTCAATGTTCAATATGATTAAATAACTAGAAGAAACTTATTCATAAATAAAAGTTATGATATAAAAGTTATGATGCACCGACATTTTAAAAAATCTGATATTATATTGTATTTTTAGTTCTAACTATTAGATTCGTTAGATTACAATTACCATTTTATTAAGTTTAATATATATATATATATATATATATATATATATATATATTTTCTTTGTAAAATTAATAGATATTATAAGTTTAACTTTGTTTTTTTATTAAATTATAAAATGTTAAATATAATATACACTACATAAATTAAAAATATTATTTAATATCAAAATATATCTTAATATGTCAAAATTTAACATTTTTTAAAACTAACGTATCTGAATATCAAGTGATATCTTGTGTCTAGTATCAGCGTCAATGCCCATATTGGTGTCGATGTCAACCTCCGGTGTCAGAGCAACAGAGTAGAAGAACGGTAAATTCCACGAACTCCAACTTAGTCGATACTCTGAAACCAACCCCTTTTCTATAAGGGGGCCACAGATTAAATTAATATAATTGGGACCCTGTAAAGAGTATCCTGCTGGAACCTCATCATCTAAAATTACCAAACTATCTTTCATGTGTTTTCCTATCAATACGCCCAGCAGGTATTTTTCTAGATTAAATTTAGCAACTCTCTTTTTTTTTGGAAATACATTTAGCAACTCTCTTAAACCTATGAAATCTGCATAATTCACTAATACAAATTAAGCATTACATTGTGAAGTCAAATGAAAAAACGAGAAACGTGCAAGTAAAGAGAGCTACTTATGTTTACATTGGAGTATAATGCATTTTGAATTTATAGCCAAAGATGAGGGAGAGAGAATTTTCATTCTTACTATTATATCATAATTATTCAAGCAAATTTAATGTATTGCAATATTACAAATTTTGAATGTTTTCACAAAAAAACAATGCCTCTCCTAACTATAACCAGCAATTGGCTGAAATAATTTCCACCTGTAGTCATAAATTATGTCTCAACTTCTCCAATGGCTCCTAGTTGGGAACATTTTGTTACTAAAACAAAACAATGCTTATCCAAACTAAACCAGCAAATGGCTGAAAAAAATATCCTGACCTTAGTCATGAATTATATCTCAACTTCTCCACTGACTCCCAGCTGGGAGCAGTATGTTCTGCTAAACATTGAATCGAAACAACATGACATCTCCTTCTTGTACAATGTAGTCTTTACCTTCAGATCTCAACTGCAAACCATATATTTAGGTAAATTTAGAATAATATTCCAGGAGAAAAGAAACTGATTTCCAGTTCATAAATTTGTACATGTTCCGCAGGGGATAGGGAAATGATGGATGTTGAATTACACTGAAACACAATTACAATACAAACAGATTATTAAAGGAACCTATGAAGCACCGACTCCGACACGGCATTTTCGATACGTTCCCGATACGTTCTCGATACGACCATTAATTCGTCGATACGATACAATACGTTTTTGATACGTTTCCGATACGTGTATCGGATACGTTGGAAAAAAAAATTTGGAATATCGGTGCTTCATAGAAAGGAACCATGCTCTTCCTTCCCAAACCAACTATTAATCCCACATAGACAAGTAAACATCAAGCAGCACCCATGTGATATAATAGAGAATATGAGCAAATAAACCTTGAATCCAACGGTTCCAACCAAATAGGTACAAGGATATTGAAATAACCTAACTAACATGCCAGCAATGCACCCGTTCACATTTTATACTTTTGTGCTTGCGGAAATCAAACAGAAGTCCATAACACAGTAGGTAAACATTTTACTAAAGCTAAATTATATATCAAGAATATGAAAGAAAACCACGTTTACTAGGAGGACAATGAAATAAGCAACTTACAAGTCCTTTCTCTCGTGCTGCAGCAAGTGAACCAGCAGCAACAAAGTCATCATAAGACACCTAATTTAAAATAACATTTTTAATGACGGTTAATGAATGCAGTATGTAAACTATGACGTGTGCTTAAAATAAACGCAATAGAATATGTAATAAAAGTAAATGAATTTTCAGGGTCTCACTTCATTCAGGCACCCAAATCCAGTGAAAATTAGCTTTCATTTTTGTCTATCCTATAGCAGTATAAATCAAAATGAAGAATACAGAAATCCAATTCTAGTATAAGAAAAATCACTCCCCATGAAACAATAACTTGCGACGGTAGAGGTGAGAAAAATCCTAATGTGCAGTCTTATCCTTACAATTTTTGCAAAGAGACAGTTTTTTGAATTCAAATGCATGACTTTTTGGTCACAAAGCAACAGCTTTACTACTGCTCTAAAATCGCCCACTTTAAAGTAAATTCGAGGATACTAACGACAAAATCCTAACTTATCAAAACTTGTTCTTTAATGGCTAATTGGCTATCAACTGTAAGAAAAGGTGAGTTGCATACAGTATCATGAGAAACGGTAATCACAATATGTGTGATAATCACAAAGTGAGAAACTAATAAGTTGGGAGAAGGTGAGCTTCAATTATGACATATTTGGTCTCTTTGTCATACAACTAACACTTTATGGCTTCCAACTAGGCTACAGAAAGCAACTTATATCTGATAGATTTCTGGTCCCCCTCCCTCTCTCTTACCCCCTCCTCTATTTTATCTTGACTTTGGTAGTCTGCAACATACAAATGTGGGACATGCAACAAAACAGTAAAGACTACATCATAATAATAACAAAGTAACGTAAGAGGTAATTAGTGGAATCTACTTACATCAAATTAATACAAATAAAATTGCTTATATTCAATGCATTTTTTTACAAAAGTAGTACTAAAAAACAGATTGTTTTGCCTCACTTCAGGTCTAAAATATAAACTTTAGACAAAAACTTACAACTCTTACCATTAAGTTTATCAAGAATAGTCTATTTCCCCACATTATCTAGAATATTGAATATCAAAATCACCTCCACGTTTTTCTTTTTGTTTTTTAATGTTTACAATATACTTGCTATGCCAAGTCATATATGTTATTATAAACAAGAGTTCAAAATCATATCCTTGATGCTTACTGTTTCTGCTCGAATGAAACCCTTCTCAAAGTCAGAGTGAATAACTCCAGCAGCCTGAGGCGCAGTCATTCCTAGTACAACAGAGGTTTAAAATTTAGAAAAGTGATCCAATCTAAGTAGAATCCTTATATTATTATTAATTCTATTTGGTCAATCAATCTCAGGTTACTCCAAAACAAAAATGGACAATCAATCTTGAAAAGAAAGGGGCACAAGATCTCTTCATTGCCCATCCAAAGTTGAAAAAGTTAAAATAAACTCCATTATAATAATGCAGAGGGTATGGGTGAGGGTCGATTGTACTCAGTCTTACCCTTGCATTTTCTAACAAAGGGGTGGTTTTCCAAACGCAAACCCGTGACCGGAATTCTGGTCACGGAGGAGCAACCTTACCATTGTTCCAAGGCTCCTCTCAAAAACTCCATTTTAATAACCTTTTTAAATTACTATATGAACATGGCATTCAGAAAAGGATAAAATCCAGTCAAAGGAAAATAGTCTCATCCAGAGAAAAAACTAACCCGCAAGTATTGTCCATGCTTTTGTCTCCTGTATACACATTAGAAAAACAAAATCAGTTTCGCAGATAAAATATGATATGATATGTAACCAATACTTTGGGAGAGTTATAATTTAGGATGTGTTGGTGAACATTTTTACAGTTTAGAATAAATTAATCACTGTAATAATTAATCAAGTGATTCAAGTTACCATACTAACCATATATGTTTAACAGGATATAAACTGTAATTCTCTTTAAATATTTTCTAGCTTTCCTCTTACCTTCTCACCAGAAGTAAAATAAGTTCGCAGCCCCAAAAGGTCATAGGTTGCCCTAATTAGGTTCCCAAGACCACTTTCACTAACACCAAGAGATTTCAAATATTCTTGTCTTTCTTCAATTGATAGTTCAGTAAGCTCTGCCTCAACCTGCAAGGACAAATAACCCCATCTTACTTGACTCTCTGTGGTGACAATAACAAGAATCCCAGTAAGTTTCTTTTCAATATGATATAGAAAAGTGACAGCTCTAGCAAAAGTTGACATTCACAAATTCTCAAGTGAAAAGTGAAAACACATGGAAAGTTCAAATAATCCAAACAGTATTTGTGAAACAAGGAAGACAAAGGACAAACCATTGAAGAGGGAAAGTGTGACCTGCTGTCACAGTACTACTGATTTTTTTTCAGAGGAAGAGAGCTTGCACAGCAAGCTTAAACAGCTATACAGCCAATTTAAAAATAAAAGAATAGCTAGGCTAACAATATTAAATAAGCGTAACTACAAAACAAACTATGGTAACATCTTTATTTATCTAACAATCCCTCTCAAACTGGAGCATATATATATATATATATATATATATATATATATATATATATATATATATATCATATGATCCTAGCTTGTAACATGTATAGTCTATTATGTATTTGAATTGACACATCCAGTGGTAATGTCCCGAGATAGGATCTTCTCTATGATAAAGTGACAACCTATCTCAATATATTTGGTCCTCTCATAGGATACAGGATTGGAAGCACTATGCAATGCAACTTAATTATCACAAACAAGCTCATTTGCATAACCTCCCTGAATCGACACTCTTAAAGTAGTTGTTTTAACCAAATAATTTCACGAGTAGTTGATGCCATAACTCGATATTCTACTTCGATGCTTGATCTGTGACCCAATTTTGTTTCTTACTCTTTCAGGATATTAGATTTAGAGGTGGCAAAATGGTGTTTAACCCGCCACAAAAGATAGTATTTTATTTTTTTGTACAAAGTAGTATTTTATTTGTCATACCAAGCTTTTTTAGTACTCCTCTACAAAAGATAAAGAAGAAAACACTTTATTTATCACAAAGTTTATCCATACAGGGAGGTAAAAATGAGTTCCTAGAGGTTGTTGGACTGAATATTAACATTTATTTAGGCTTGGGGATGGAAAAAATTAACCGGAATGTGAAATGGAATTAAATAACACTATAAACTCATAAAATAATATTTATTTATACGGATTGACCCGCCAACCTGGAATAAAACAAGGAGTGTTGATAATTTCAACCCACTTTTAAAAGGCGGAGTTTTTGGAAGGTTGGCATCAAGTCAAGGCGGACCGGAGCGGGCCAATCCGTTTTGCCACCTCTTTAGATCACCTCCAATGAAAGCACAATAACCAAAAGGGCTTTTTTTATCAATAGGAGAATCTGCTCAATCGGAATCTGAATAACCAACAATGCGAGTATGACCCTTATCTTCATAGATAAGGCTTTTTCCTAGAGATCCTTTGATATACTTCAAGCCATAAATCACTACAACCCAATGCTCATCACACAACATTTGCAGCAAAGGAAATATCCGGACACTTGCTAACTATTAAGTAATTTAGTTTCCCAAAAAATCTTCTATATCTTCTTCGACGAGATAATGACTCCTCTTGATTTGGTAAGAGTTTGACATTAAGGGGGCGTTTGGCAAAGAGAAAAAATTTTATCCGAAGATGCTAGGAAAGTGAATTTCTCATGAATGTTACCAAAAAGTTGTTTGATAGGCCAAAATATTCCCGGAAATATTGGGCCAATTTTCCTGATGCTATGTTTGGTTGATTGTAAAATATTACTGGGAATATGGACCGAATTTACAAAATTAACCTTAATACCAAAAAACTCCGCCTATGCGTGCTTGCAAGCATGGCCTGTCCCAAGCCAAGATAAAGGAGGAGGGTTGGCGTCAGGTGTAACAAGCCGATCGTAAGAAAACAACTATATTTATGAGATGAACCCTTATGATCTTTCGTAGTGGCGTACCCTTCATAGCGACGCGTTGCATCGTACCCCGGGTGCAGCGAAAAATGGGTCAGGGTCCTTGCCCCAAGGCAAGGGCCGGGTCTTCACGCGGATTTGGTGAAAAGTAAGTCAAGGTCCTAAAACGCAGATGGGCGAGCGTGGCGGGCAAGCACTGCCCAGGGGTTAAGGATGCGATTAGGAAGCTGGAACATAGGAACCTTAACGGGTAAATTGAGGGAGCTAGCAGATGTTTTTGCCAGAAAGAAAGTGAATATCGTTTGCTTGCAAGAAACTAAGTGGGTTGGAGAAAAGGCCAAGCAAGTGGATGGTACCAGTTTCAAGTTGGGGTACACAGGTATAAAAAAGAGTCGAAATGGTGTTGGAATTATGATCGATAGAAGTTTCATAGAAAAAGTCGTTGACATCAAAAGGAAAGGCAACAGGATTATTCTTATTAAGCTTGTAGTGGGTGAACTAATTTTGAATATCCTCAGTGTGTCTACACCCCAAGTTAGGTTGCAATCAAATGATAAGAACCAATTTTGGGAAGACTTGGAGGAGGTTTTGAGAGGGATACCACGAGAGGAGATTTTCTTTGGAGGAGATATGAATGGTCATGTTGGTAAAAGCAGTGGAGGTTTTGATAGAATTCATCGAGATTTTGGCTATGGGACGAGAAATGAGACTGGAGAAGATATCTTGAACATTGCACTAGCCTAGGATTTGATGCTAGCAAACACTTTTTTCCAGAAAAGAGTCACATCTTATCACTTATCATAGTGGCCAAAATCGTAGTCAAATTGATTTCTTTATGGCTAGAAGAGAAGATAGAAATTCTTGTGTCGACTGCAAGGTCTACCCTAGAGAGAGAGTCGCTACGCAACATAAGCTGGTAGTTTTAGATGTTCGGTTCAACAAAGTACTTAAAATGAGAAAAAGGGCTCAAAACCCAAGGATAAGATGGTGGAAGCTAAAGGAGGAAAAACAATTAGACTTTAAAGAAAGAATGTTGCATGAAGGACCATGGGAGTTTGTTGGAGGAGCTAATGAAATATAGAATGAGATGGCTATATGTATCCAAAATGTGGGAAAGAGGGTGCTTGGAGAAAGCAAAGGAATTGGATTCCATACAAAGGAAACATGGTGGTGGAATGGAGAGATGCAAGAGGCAATTAAACAGAAATATGAATGCTTTAGATCTTTGCATAAAAGTCCCAATGATAATAATTTGCAAAAGTTTAGATTGGCGAGAAAAAATGCAAAGAAATCAGTGCGAAAAGCTAGAGGCTACGTTGCACCTACACCGACACGGGATACGAGATACGACACGACACTCTACTCCAACACGTTAATTCTAAAAAGTGTTAGATTTCGACACGTTAGGACACGTTTTGATATTAAATAATATTTTTAATTTATGTAGTGTATATTATATTTGTTAGAATATGAAATATTAGATATATAGATTTGATATAGATTTGTATAGATTACCTTCCTATCTGTAAATATTCTTTTCCTATTTAGTTTTGTATTAGGACTGGACTTCTCACTTAAACCCATTAGGGTCTCTATATATTGTAACTCTTTGTATTACCTTAGTCCACAACATTATTATTTTATATTCAAGTTTGTACCAGAGCTCTTTTGTTATGAGGACCCTCGCTTTCGCTTAAAACTCCGTTTTCGCTTTAAAACCTAAGCCCACTGCTTAGGGGTCCTCTTTTCTTTGCCGTGCGTCCTTCCGGCAAGCCATCTAGGGTTGTAAGCTCCTTCTGAGTGATTTCCAAACGCGTCAGCACCTCCGACCGCCACCAGAACCACCGTACGTCACTGTTCCGGCCGCCGGAGACGTTTTCTGGCGAGTTTTCGAACCAAACCACCTGCGATCAAGACCGTCTCCTCCCGGCGACAAGTTCTGTGGAGGTCCGACCACCATCGCAGCCGTCACACGCCTCCACGCGCCGCCTGTCTTCTCTACACGTGGTGCTCACGCGCCACCTTCTGCCAGCACGTGTGCACTGTTCCGGTGGAATTTTCCGGCCATTCTTGGACAGAAAGACTCGCCTTCTCCTCCTCTCTCCAGATATGTGGTTGGTTCTTTGTAGGTCTCACTTTTTGTGCGTACTTCTTCTTGATTTGCGATCAGGTTAGTTTCTAATCACTTGGTTATATATCCTTATGATTTATAATAATGGCAGCATCTTCTCTTGCTCACTCGGAGGTCAGTTCTCCCTCTCGTCATGCCAAAAGTTTCCCTATTGTCATCTCCACTAATGTTGGGCCCATTACCTCTTCAAAGCTTAAGGGTTCTGTTAATTACAAGAATTGGGCCACCTCTGTTCAAGTTTGGTTCTTTGGACAGGGACATGGGAACCATCTCACAACTAAATCTACTGATATTCCTAAGGAAGAAAAATCTGATTGGGAAAGAATTGACAACCAACTTCTGAGTATCCTTTGGCAGTCTATTGATCCAATCGTCTTGGATATTTTCTATTCTTTTCAAACCTGCAATGAAGCGTGGGAGGAAGCAAAACACCTCTACACTAATGATGTTCAGCAGCTCTATTCCATCATGTCTCAGTTTATGAATTTGCAAAAATCATCTGACTCTCAGATGGAGACATATGTTGGCAAAAGTCGATCTCTGATGCAAGCATATTTGGATATGTTGCCCTACCCTACTGATGCTTCTGCATATCGGAAACAGGTGGAACGTCTCTTTATGGTTGCCACACTTTCTGGTCTTCCCGAAGAATATGATAATGTTCGGGATACTATCTTGACCAGTGGGGATCCTGATCTATCAATGACGTATCAGCGTCTTCTGAACCTTAATAAGAGATCTGCTCCTGCATCGTCTTCTGTTGTTGATTCCACTGCTCTAGTTTCCCGTACTGACTTTCGCGGGAACATTGGAGGTGGTCGTGGTCGTGGTAGAGGCCAGGGAGGACGTGGCTCAGGAGGACGTGGTCAGCGACCTCGTCATTATCAGCAACTCGGTCATTATGAGGAACGTTGCTTCACGAAGTATCCTCACCTGCGACCCTCTCATGCTGCTAATATAGCTCAATAGAATATTGCTTCAACTGGTACAGTCTCTCTCTCCTCTGAAGACTATGCAGCACTCCAGACCCTT